TGGTCCTGCTACAGAGAAGGCCCTGTCACCTCTGCGCTAAGACGAGTTCCTGGAACTGTGAGGAGCAACTGGTCTGCTGACCTCAGGGAACATGGTGGAAAATACAGCTGTAGCAAATCGGAGAGATAGAAGGGGGCGAAACTGTTCAGCGATTTGTAGACATACAGGAGTATTTTGAACTGGATTCGAAGGTGAACCGGTAGCCAGTGCAGTGAGGCCAAAACTGGTGTAATGTGCTCTCTTTTGCCTATACTGGTTAAAAATCGGGCTGCTGCATTCTGGACCAGTTGTAGTCGTGCATGGAGGTCTGACTGATACCAAACAGGAGCAAATTGCAGTAATCAAGCCTAGATGTAATGAATAGGGATGGGGCAGATCCGATCCAGTATCGGTATCAGCCTCCGATACCAGCATAATTTACGTAACAGATTTTCCGATCCACCTGCCGATATTTCCGATCCATGATGCATGTTGGCTTCAAACTATGGAATGGATTTTCTGAACGGCGGCGTGTCTCATGAACCCAGAGTAATAAGACCCGCCTCACATTCAGGAAATCCAGTTCATAGTTTGCAGCCAGCTACAATGTGAGGGCTGAGTTAGCAGCACTGTGGCTAACGGCTAACCAACTTTTCATTGCAACATGTCCACTGTGTGGAAGTATTTTACACTAGAAACACCACAAAACAAGACAGCAACATGCAATGTCTGCAGAGCCATAGCATCACATTAAACCGCGGTAAAGTTAGTTTTACGTTTGACATTCGAACTCGGGGGCTTCAGCAGAGCACTACTCTAGCTCAACCCGAAACAGGCAACTCGACCCTGGCTCAGTCTGCCCGTCTCTGAGATGGGGCAGGCTGAGCATGGCTGAGCAAAATCAGGCTACCTGCTTCGGATTGAACAAGAAGAAGACATCGCTGAAGCCATGGAGCTCGAATGTTTACCGAGAAGTTGCTAAACTTCATCGTAATTAATGACCAACCACTATCAGTTGTAGAAAATGAAGGATTTCACAGCTTGATACTTGCAGCCAAGATATAGTTTACTCTCCAGGAGATATTTATCAGTACAACAGTAGACGA